CCTTTTGGACGCCACCGTACTTTAGTATATGATCACAGTGGGGTTCAAGCTAGGGATTAACGCTTGAAATCTATTCCCTACAAATATCAATTATTAGTAATATTATTAATATTTTGGTCAAGATCATATGGTATTGTTGTTAATTAGTGGTAAATGATACTGTATCATAATAACTACATAATTAAGTTTAATTATCATTATTGGATATCTTATTGGGTACCCGATAACCGATCCGAAAATCCGGGTACCCAAAATTCGGGTCCCCGAATTTATCGATTCGGGTTATGGATATCACTTTTAGTGATTTTGGTTATCGGGCATCCGAACCATCAATGCTAATGAAACGGGTACCCGTCCCATGCTCACCCCTACCGGGTACATGTTTTCATTTTTTACAATAAAATATTTCTTATTTATTAATTTTTATATATTTGAATCGATTACAATCCGACACGTATTAAGTAAGTGGTATGATAATAAAGAAATTAAATACGGAGTATTTCAAAATTCAGATTATTAAAACAAAAATCAGACGGGATTATTAAAACCAATTTTTGAGTTTTTTTTTATTAGGAAAAATACACTTTAATAATCCCAACTATAGGCGATTTACCTATAATAATCTCAACTATCGATTATTCTACAATAATCCTAACTATTAGGTCAGTTTTCCTCCAGCAGTCCCAAACCGGTCACCAACCTATTATTGTAGGTTATTTGACACGTGTCAGCGCGTGAGTGGTTCCAGAAAAAATTAAGAAAAAGAAAGCCGAAAAAAAAAAAAAAAAATCCGGCAGCCACCATTTCAACCCTAACCTCCACCTCCTGCCGCAACCCTAAAACACCACCTTCTCCAGCCACCCAAGCCGGAAATGACTCCCACAACCAACCGCACTCCCGAAACCAGTTAAAACACCTAACCCTTGCCCGTGAAACCACCAGCAGCCCCAAATCGCACCAAAATAACCAGCAGCTGGAGAAGGTGGTGTTTTAGGGTTTGAGGCAAGAGGTGGAGGTGGCGTTTGGGGCTAGAGAAGGTGGCTATTGAGGTCAGTTTTAGAGGCGGAGGATAGCGCGGTGGTTTTGGAGGCAGTGGATTTGGTTGCAATTGGTGACTGGGTGTCTGGGTGTGTACGACTGAGTTGCGACAAGCTGACAGCGATCTGGCAACGAGCAGGCGATGAGGAGGGGTCGTGGTTGTGTCGGCGTCGCTAGCCGTGTAGGAGGGTCGGAGTAATTGGTGTCGCTGGTCGTGCAGGAGGAGCAATTGGGGTTGGGGTGGATCGTGGCTGGTGCTCTAGGGGATTGGAAGGGCATGCCGGCTATTTTCCAATGGTTTGCGAGTTCGCCGGCCATTTTCCGGTGGTGTGGAGGTTGGCCGGTTAGATTCCTAGTTGGATAAGTGTGGTTTCCGGTGGGCTAGGGGTGGCTGGGATGGTTTTTGTTTTTATTTTCCTTGTTTTTTTTAAAAAAAAATTTATTGTAATATTAGGCCAGTCATGTACTGACATGTGTCATTTAAAAACAAAAAAAAAATGTTTATCCTTTTCGCAGGTAATCGATTTTTGGAAAATTGAACTAATAGTTAGGATTATTGTAGAGTAATCGATACTTGGAATTATTGTAGGGATTATTAAAATGTATTTTTCCATTTTATTTTGAAACGAGATGAATCAAAACTCAGAAATGGCCTTACTCCACGTCTCCACCTATACTCTCACTCTCAAAATTGTGATCATTCCAAATTCTGCAGAGATACCCGGTGAAAAAAAAAAGAGGGAATTTGAATAAGTAAGATTAGGTTTTAAGAGTATCGAATTTTGTAAAATGCAGAAAAAAGGCAATTTAGATTTGATTCGAAAACAACCTATTGTTAATGACATTAGTGTGTAATATCAAACACATTAAACACTCAATTATTTCCAATCTACGATTTTTAATTATTGGTGGAACCAATTGCAGTAAAGTCGTCGTTTCGGCGATTCCAATTATCTCTAAATCTCCTCTTTTTGTGATCATGGAATGGATTCCTCCATGAAATGCAGTCAGAGCTCCAATTTTACATTCCCAGAGATTTATTAGGTTTTTTTTTTTAATGCTCTATCTTTTAATTATTTATTTGTTTTAACCTTTTGACATTTTTGATATAAAATATTCTTAAATACTTTTATAATATTAATACGTATATTTTTCCACTCTAAATTAGTTTTGACACTCATCAATATGCATAGTTTGTGGTACTTCAAGTTGTTGTTAGTTATCAATTGCTAATTAATTGGAAAATTAATTTTGATTGAAGATTGTGGGTACATAAAAATGGTGGGATCATATATAATTGGTATGAAAGAAAAATTATGGTCCTAGCGAGGCGTTTGGCAACTAAGAATGAAAATTTAGGGATTAGAGGGTTGGGAATAAGATTTATGGTTGAAAATTCAATCAAATATTGACAATCCTTTATTGAGAAGAGAATTGATTGAGAATAAATAGCAACTTTACAATAATACCCTTACTAATGTTATATCATTATGCTTTCATTAATGGCAAAATGGTCTTTTCCTCTTTATTCTCAATTTCCATCTCTATTACTTGCCCCCTAGGTAATAAAATCACGGGAATAAAGCAATTTTATTCCCAATCCCCAATCTCACCTACAATTCCCCTTCCCACAAACAAAACAAGGAAATATATATTCCCACGGTCTCAACTCCTCAGTTCCCATTCCCAAGCCCCAATTTCCACATACCAAACACCCTCTAAGAGTCCTAACAACCAAAACTAGTAACGTATTACTCGTTGATTTTAATGATTGTACCAAAACTAGTAAAGTATTATCTTTTCTAAAAATAAGAAAGGTCTAATGGGAAATATTGCACCGGGGGTTCAATCTCCACTAGAGGCAATTTGAGGGTGTGGATCACTTACCCTTCCCCCCTCACTCTCAAATTGCCTCGCCAACAAATACCATGCAAAAAAAAAAAAAAAAAAAAAAAAAAAGGTGAGGGTTGAGGTTCGGTTAGGGTCCTCCTTACCTTATATTTCCTCTGTTCTTTTTTACTTGACATGTTTCTTTTATCACGCTTGTCAATGCACAAGTTTAACCATCAATAATTTTAATACTCTATAAGTAAAAATTATAAAAGTTATATATTGTTATAGTACTTATTTAGACGATTCTAACAAGATCCTACATGAATATGCTTTTCTTTACCTATAATTCACAAAAGACGGTCAAACGTGGGTTAGTGAATAGTGTAAAAGTCAAAGCGGGTCAAGTAAAAAAGAACGGAGGAAGTATGGAAACTGAAACACTAATATATCCTCCAATTTGTTTTACTTGCAACATTTTTTACCCGTGCACTATTCACATACTCTACTTTGAATATTGATGATTTATAGTTGATGAAAATATAGTTTTGTAAAATCTATATATATGCTTTAAATTTCTACTTTCATGATATCAATATTTTTAAATTGTTAATAACTAAATAAGAAGCGCAAGACTGGAAGTAAAAAGAAACTGAAAAAATATGAGATAGAGAGAGTACTAATTTATTTTGTATGCAATTTTGAAATTGTCTTCTCTAAGCATTGATATGTATTAAAAAATAATAAGGATTTGTTTTGTATGTAATCTTGTGCTTCAAGTTAACTGTCAAGGGCCGTTGTTTTAAATATACGAAATGTTAATTAGATGATAGTTTAATTCGAAGAATGTCCTTAATTACTTGTTTTCTTCATTGTAGATTCTTGTTCTATTTATATATGGGTTGCTAGTTTGAGTAGTGTGCCAAGCTACAAGTCTACAACGTTAATATGTTACTTAGCTAGTACCCCTCTCTGAGTTCTTCTTGTGGAATGGGGACAGTAAAAGTGTAAAATCACTTCAATAGCCATTAGTAGCCAAGGGATTTGAAACATTGGAGATAGCTCATGAATTATAACCCTTTAACAAGTGGGAATGGAGTTACTTTTGCTTATCTATAGTAGCCGCTCCATGCTCATATGTGTATTTTAAGGGGAAGAAGTATTTGAGAACTTGAATGTAAAGAGAAAATACGACGTGATAATCAGAATTAGTCGGTTTATATGCACTAACAAGTTTATACACCTAGTAGGCTAGTATTCCTTGATTATTCTTCATTAGAGGTCAGCCTGAAAATTTGAAGTCATGAGGCATGGAGGGTGGAATTCCTTTAACGACCACAACAATTCAGTATAAGTCCCAGCATTCAAGCTTTGAAAACTTGCAAAGGCCAGAGTATATTCTAGGGGCTGGCAAGTAAGGATAGATATATGATCACAATCATCCGAAGTACCATTACAAACTTATATCACTGTAAATATATGCAAAATACACCACACCTATCCAAAATGCCACTGCGCCTTTTCTCACTTAGGAGAGGATTGGATTGCTTTGAACCTCTCTGGAATTAATGAAACATGTCTTGGTGTTGCGTTACTTTAACTAGAATGAGCTAGCATAATGGACTGTGTCTGTTTCTAAACTACTCATTGAAAAGTTTACTTTATCACTATTAATGTTTAACTTAGTAATATATTTTCCAGAAAAAAGTAGTTACAATATTAATTTGAAATGGAAAGTGAACAATGAAGTTTTTCCAGAAAGTATTTACAGACTTACAGTATTGACAATTGAAAGAGTATTAAGAAACATTGGATGGAATAAAATATTATGACTCCAAGATCCATGCCAGTTACCAAACTTCTATCACTTTTTGTTTTTAAAATAAAAGTATTGTGAGGTAACTATGAAAGCAAGTTTTAAAATAAAATAAATGGCACTTATTCTTGTATTTTTGAGCTTTGCAAATGCTGTACACGTAGGAGATGGACTGTGTAGTTTGAATTAGTTTTGGCTTTGTTTCATTGTTTATTGTGATAAACCTTCTCAGTCTTTCCATTATAAAAATGTCTCCAGAACAAATCTTGAAGATAATGTAGCAGCGATTCTATCTAACAGTATCTAACAGTACATGAACATCTTTAATATGCATGCATTACCATTTCAGGCGTTCAATTGTACTTCCTTTCCATTTTAGCTAAATAGTACTCACTTGTACTTACCATTGCCTTGAAATTTTCAGGTATTCTATTTTTTTGAGGTACAAAGTTTCTGGAAAGCAGGACAGTTATTATATTCATGACTTGAAGAATATGTTGATTTTATTTATATTACTAACAAAGGTGGTGGTGGTATGCTTTCTCTTTTAGGAACCATATGCTCCTATATGTTATATTTTATCCTCTAAATTTCCATTATCGGCTGTTATTATTTTTCTGAGTATTTATGATGGGCATAATCATGGATCGTCGATAGGTGTGAATTTATGCCAGTATCTCCTACAACATTATCGAAATAATGTTGGCCCTGTAAAGATTCTTCGACCTTCCAATGCTTAAAGACTTGACTTTAAAATGTTATACTAGTATACTCCCCCTGGCAGCCCATATTCCCTGTGCTTTTTTAATCTGTATAATTTTTGTTAGTATCTTCCACTTTATTTTATTTTTTTTATTTTTCAAATTTATTTTATATTGTTGATTGAGATGGTTTGGAAGCACAGCGAAACCTTCTCAATATAATATTGAAAACCTCAACACCATTAGCCAACTTGTTTATCTAGTATAGACTTGTATTTACTACATATTGAAAAGGACCATTGCTCATTGGCCTTCCTTCAGGATATGGTCTTGGTATATAAGCTGGCAGAGCCTCCATTTAAAGTTTTGCGGAATAACATAAGAAAATTTTTTGTGGCAGAAACATTATTACAACTTTATCATAGTGGCGTTGCTTATCTTTCTGCTTCATTTTTTTAATTGATTTTGCGTGTGTTCTGCGTATGGCTCCTTTTTAAATGTAATTCACAGACACAAGGATTGATATTTACAATCTGTTTTGTTATATTAAGCAGTTTAGAGATAAAGAAGTTCTTGGCGTTGTCTTTGTTTTGAGTAGGTGATTTTTTTTAGTTCTTTCAAGTCATTATAAATGAGCAATCAAAAGATTGACTATCGGGAACAAGTTCAGCAGACTAATGGGGTTATTAATGATTGTATGATAGAAATTGGGAGCCGGGACTCCCAGTTTATTAGTGTTCGGCAGCCTTGGAACATGGGTTCTTGCATGGGAGGAGGAGGGGTAGAGTCGCAGCCTCAGAATATTTTGCCTGCTAATCTTTCAAGCACTGTTATAAGCCGCTTTGGATCACCAGTCCCTGATTTCTCTACAGCTGAACGATATGGTAGCCTTCCTTATGCTCACCAAATCAGCAGCCCAACCTTTTCTTCTCAGTGCTCAAAGAATTATGATTTGGAATATCGATCGTTTCCATGTTCTACAGAAGGATTTTCTGCTCAATTAGCAGAACAAGACGCGAATGAATTACAATCCAGAACTACGTTGGAAACAGCTGCAAAATCTCTACTTTATGGTGATCAGAGTCAATTTTATGCTTCGGGTAAAACTTATGCTAGTCCATGTGGCAACTTCCAAGAAAGTGAGCATATTCAGCAGCTGAAGAATAAGTTGCTTGTTGATTATGCTAATTCAGATGGCAGAAACTATATTTTTCCTATAAATGAGAAGCAGGATTTTAGAGTAAGCTCTGAATTCTATTTATTTGGCTGTGATATGTTCTTGACAACTCTTATTAATTATCCTTTTTCCTTCTTGCAGATATTGGACAAATCTTATGAATCTCCTCATGGTCATTTCAGCTTTTCCTCTCAAGGAGAAAAACAGGTGCTTAGACCTCTAGGGGTTTTGCCCTTGAATTCTGGCAATTCTTTCTCGTCTGGAGCTGCTATTTCAAGCAAAACGCGAATTAGATGGACTACGGAACTTCATGAGAAATTTGTGGAGTGTGTGAGCCGTCTTGGTGGGGCTGATAGTAAGTCTTTTTGCTTTATTTACTCTTCCATTAATGATAAGAATGCATCGTTATATTCAGTTGATTGCTTTGATTTTCAGAGGCAACCCCAAAGGCAATTTTGAAACTAATGAACTCTGATGGATTGACCATCTTTCATGTCAAAAGTCATCTACAGGTATTAATACTTAACAGAATGCATCTACGATTCATGATCAATCCATAGATAATTAGATATATACTTCCAGGATTTTGACTTTTTTTTCCTTGTTCCTGCAGAAATATCGAATTGCAAAATACATGCCCGATTCTACTGAAGGTAAATATTTTGTTCTTCAAGATGATATATAAATTACGTATGTATTGTTCAAGTGTTAGGTTTGTATATTCTTTATTATTTTTATGGTTGTGAACAAGTATGGTGATAGCTTGAGTTATACCATATGCTTATTCATATTCTGCTGTTTAGAAATGAAAAATAGAGACAATTTGTCAATCAAAGCCCTTAGGCTTGTCACAGGCTAGGAATTTAGGGTAGAGTTGACACTTAATCATCAGTTTATTTTTTCCATATTTTGATAATCAATGACTAATAAGATCAGCATATCGAGACATTGGATGAATAAGTGAAAAACTCAATGTATGTATGGACCAAGAGCTTCAAAGCGTGTTTGTCATGTGCCAACTCACGCAATACGCTTTTTTATTTTTTAATTTCTCTGATTTGGCATCCTTGCCTTCCAACAAACCCAAAGTTCGGTCAGGATTAACTTATGTAGAAGTAGTGCTCATTGTAAGTGAGACATGATTCATATATAAGGTACCATTGTCTGGAAAAAGATGCATGCATGTTAGAGCTTTAATATTTGATTAGCAGATTTAGCACCTTGCGGAGTTTGCTGCTTGTGTTTGAGCACTAAACTCATTCCAGTCGAAAAAGAAACCAATGAGTCTATTCAAATGCCTGTTAGTGCTGTTAGCCTGTTTCCATTAGGTTTTTAGAAATCCTTAAGACAAAATTGATTCTTTGCTTTTAATGGCATCAAATAAGAATCTGTTGTCTTCATTATCTTCAAAAATTTTATTATTGAGACACTTCCTAAGAGTATCCATTCCTATTTTTAGTTACTGACCCACTCCGTATTCTATTGCTTTAGATACTGATATGCTTAACCTAGCCCCTTATTGGTGCTCACCAACCATTTGTGAAATCTTATATGCTCACTAGTCGCTACAATTATATTCTTATTTAGGAAGAAGCTAAGCTAGCTAGTGGACTCTGATATTGACCTTGCATTACAAATGTTCTTTTGCACGTTTTTGCGCTAGATTCAAGGATTTTGAGGTGAAATTGGCCATTTCACTTTCATATAGTAGAAGTGACTTGTAAATATCTTAACCAAAGTTATCCTGAAAGTCTGAAACGAATTTAGTCTGATCAGAACAGAATCAAACTGAAATCCAATATGTGTAATATTGATTCTGCTCTCATATTAAACTTTTTGACAGCATAAGTATGTATGGAAGAATCACATTTGAACCATATGTCTCGTATTCTGAATATTACGTGGACTGAACCAGTTCTATTTGAAACTACTTGTTTACCAACTCTAAATCAACCTAGAGTAGATTATCTAAGCTAGTTGGTAATTGTTCCTTTATTTTAATTTTCCCTTGTATATTGCAGCACTCACATGTTATATTGTTATCTTACATCTGATGAATAATGTGAATTTTGGAGTAAAATAACATACTGAACTCTCTTCCTAAGTATGCCTTGTAATTTCGAGATCTAGCCTTTGTTTATACTGCTTGATAGTATGCATTTCCGATGATCTGCCTAGTTCCTGCTATACATGTTATGTACTACATTATCATCCCCATGTCATTGTTTTTGGTAATTGCAATTTGGTGTATGTATAAAACAATGATTATAATTATTGGAGCAGTTTTATATGAGATAATGCGCGCATCATGTATCCCCTGTGTGAGAAATGGCCAAAAGGATGACTAAACTAAAAGAGGAAGTTGTGGATAATTTAATATTGAAACTTTCTTGAACCCATCTGATAAGGTCAGGAGGTTGCTATCAATTATAGTAGTTTTGGAAAACACAGATTCGCAATTAGTTGGCAATGCACCATTCTCCAGGTTATTTTAAAGGTCAATTTGTTCCAGGAGTTGAAATTGTTATTTTGTCAGAAAGAATGCTTAGTTAATTATTTGCCTACTTATGCAACTAGTGCTTCCCACATCATATTGTTTATTACTAATTGGAGCTGGTTAATCTCGTAATTAAGAATGGAATATAATTATATCATGGGACCAGTTCATAAATATTTTTTTTGTGTTTTTTTAGCATACGTGTCGGACATAGGATGCTTGATGATCGGGTGATGTTACCTGAAGGCTCATCTGTTAGAGGAAATATCTAGTATGAGACGGTCTCATAATAAGTGATTGTGTGATTGAGTTGAATTTCTATCTTAGGATAAGACTTGTACTTTTCGCATCTAAGTTATTGTGAAACCATCTCATCCAAGACTTGGTCTCTTTTTCAAATTATAGTTTCTTGGTCACTTGGTGTTTATCAGTTGGATGAATATTGACTTTCTCTATTTCGTTCAAATTTTAATTACTTGTTGTATATCCATTGGACTTGGATGAACATAAGGAGATTCACGTTACTACGATTAGCCTAATTCTGTCAACTCTGTTGCAGGAAAATCAGGAAGGAGTGGTAGCAGCTTGAATGATGTTACACAAATTGACATTAAAGAGTAATCCCTTCAACTAACCTTAGAACATTTTGAACTTTTTATTATTATTTGTAAATGTTTTGCTTAGCTTATTCCTTCGTACTTATCATGTAGTGGCGTGCAACTCAAAGAGGCCTTGTCACTTCAACTGGATGTCCAAAGGCGTCTCCATGAACAATTAGAGGTTTAGCTCCTAATATGATGATATCTGCCTTTCATTTCTGAAATTCCTGAAATGAGTTTTTGTTGCTTCTAATCTAACTGCTTGTAGCTGAAAAATGAAATTGTATACCATAAAGTTACTACTCAATGTGATTTTTTTTTTAGGACTAAATATGCTGATGAGGAAATTATTTATGCTAATTTATTTGGTTTTGCAATGTAAATCAGATTCAGCGGAATTTGCAGTTGAGGATAGAAGAGCAAGGAAGACAGCTGAAAATGATGTTTGATCAGCAACAGAAGACAAGGCAGACTCTTTTAGGAGATCAAAATTCAGATAACATGTCTCCAAATGGCCCCACGTTTAGCCTCGATGATGTTCAAGTTTCAAGTGAAGAAGGTTCAGGATGTAACAACTTCCAAACCAAGACTAGTTAGCTTATTAACCAACCTAATGCAGCCTCATTTTCCCATTCCTCACTCTTAAAGGATTGAGAGCCATGCATATTGCTGCTAAAGGCCGGAGCTACGATTTTCAAATCGAGTGGATTCAAATGCTTTGGAGGTGGAAAAGTTGGGGTCGCGCTACCTATGATCAAAGTGGCGATGATGGCATGCTTTGTACTGTGTTGCTGAGTGTAGCTTAGTGCTCATCTTGTCAAGCCAACATGTTTTTGTTGTCTTTAGTTTAACGTTCCCCTCTTTCTTTACTTTTGCTTCATATTAGGGTACCTTTATTTTTAGTCACAAGCTTAAGTTTGACATAAGAAGTACAGAATTAGTTCCTTTTCGATTTAAGGTAGCAAAATGTTTGTGACAGCCAGTTCTTTTATTTATTACATAATGATTACTTATCTTTGCAAAGTATTTTTCAACTCATGAAAAGAATACTTTAGGAATTCGATTTGTAAGTTCATTATTCTGTATTTTGTGTAAGGTAATTGTATAAACTATCTTGCAAAATGATTAATTTTCTCCTTTGAATTTGACTAATTTTTATTAAATTCGACTAATTTGCTTAAATGAAGATGGATTTATTGAGACTTTAGATTTTCACAACCCTTGAAGTTATACATAATAATTTTTCTATGATATTCACGGTTTAGTTTTTAACTTTTAATTTCTTAATCATTTCGTCTACTTTAGGACTATATTGTTATGCTTACATGCAGCCAAATCAGTAAAGTTGACGATAGGCATACCATGTTCGTGTTTGGTTTCATGTTCATTTTTATGTATAAAATGTAACCTAATTGCTTATTTTTCTGTGTTTATATTGGTTTCGTGTCATGTTAATGACTTTGTGTATTCTCTCAGTATTTTCATATTCGTGTCGTGTCAATTCCAGTTATGTTGTGTCACATTGACTTAAATTGTGTTGTTGGTCGTGTTAGAGATTTTAAACTCTAGTATTCAAGTCTGTCTTTGAGCTGGGTACTTAACCTCAAAATGGAATATACTTTGTTGGCTGGCCATTTAACATTTTGACAAACTGCAAAAATAAAATTTGTCAAGTAGGCGTTATAGCGTGGATGCATATTTCTCTTGTCAACTTGATCCTTGTTCAGAAAGAATTTTATGCTTCTAACACCAACCACTGACATAATTATTAAAAAATGCCGAGGAACCAAAGTTATTGATAATATGCGGCTTATATCTTCAATAGGATAGGATTTGCTATAATTAGGGGAGTGGGGGTCCAGATTGTATCTCGGCTTCTTACTAATTTTTTTTAGGCTGTATGACTTTGTCATTTTTGAGATATAATAATAATAATAATAATAATAATAATAATAATAATAATAATAATAATAATAATAATAATAATAATAATAATAATCCATATGATTAGTATTATTTTAGCTAATGGTTAATGTGTTTACTTTTAGCTTTTTAAATTTAGACAATTAGCCCTTAAAATGTATAATTGTTTTTTTTTTTTAATAATTATTATGTTTGATTATATGCAATCCAAAAACACCTTTAAAATTACTGATTTTGTCCCTATTTCCTACCCTAGATTCAGTCCTAACGTTTCGTTAAGAAATATTTTTTAATTAAAAAAAGAAAAAACGAATCGCACGGTCCTAAACCATCACTAAAATCCTACAACTAACCAAATAATAATAATAATAATAATAATTCAGGCAGCTTGTGGCGGTGGTTTCATCTTCCTAGCAGGTCCGGCGAAGATTCTCGGTGGTGGCTCTGTTTTCAGGCGGTTTCAGGCAGTAATTCAGGCGTTTAAGGGGCGATTTTCCAGGCTGTTTGGGTGCAGTTCCGAGTCCTTTTTCCGGCATCATCTCTGGCGTAAGGTGTGATCAGGTGGGCGGTTTTCAGTCAGGGGTATTTCAGGCGGCTTTTGGGTGGATTTCAGGTGGTTTCTCGGGTGGTTTTCAGGCAGCTTTTGGGCGGATTTCAGGCGGCTTTTGTGGGTGGTTTCTTGATCAATTTTCTGGCGAATTATCACGCTGTTTTCCTTGGGTTTTTGGGCTGCTTCAAGCGTCTTTAGGGTGCGTTTATTTTTGGTATTTTTTGGGTTGTTTTGGTCAGTTTTCAGGCTGCGGTTTTGGGTGCAATTCTGCTGTGTTTTCAAGCGTGGTTTTGCTCTGTTTTTGGGTGCGTTTTGGGTGCAATTTCAAGCTGTTATTGGGTCATTTTGAGGGCATCTTTTCTCGCGAATATTGGTGTTGTTTTTGGTCAGTTAGAGGAGGTTCTTTGTTGGTTTCTATTTTGGGTTTCGGTGATCAATATTTCCAGCGATTTTCGATATTAGGGGCTGTTTTGGAGCAGTTTTTGGGTGCTGCTTTGGAGCAGTTTTGGGTGCTGTTTTGGAGCAGTTTTGTGTGCTGTTTTGGAGCAGTTTGGGTGCTGTTTTGGAGCAGTTTTGGGTGCTGTTTTGGAGCTGTTTTGTGTGCTGTTTTGGAGCAGTTTTGGGTGCAGTTTCTGGTGCAGTTTTTGGTCCAGTTTTGGCAGCTCTTGGGTGCTGTTTTGGAGCTGTTTTGCGGCAGTTTCTGGTGCTCTTTCGGGCTTATTTCAGTTTTGGGTGGTGCAAGTCAGCTATGTCGGCTGCCGTTGTGAAGTTTTATTGTCCCTTTGTGGGTCTTAGTGGTTGTCAAGATGGGAGTGGAAATGGCCTTACTCGACGTTCTCTAATCAAACATCTTAGTGATCGTCATTGTTGTATCGGTGCGCGAGATATCACCCGACATTCTCTTACTTCTAATTTGGCTGTTTATAATGAGGCAGAAGTTACTTTTAGGCGTATGGGGATTTGGTTATGTGGAGTTTGCTATAAAACGCACACGGTACGTATTAAGTGTCGTCATCGTGGGGATGAGGATGTGTCACCCCCTGATGAAGGAGATGGTGTTGTTCGTTTTGTGCTTCATAATTTCACCAAGCCGCAATCTCCTTCTTCTCCTGCTCGAGTTGATCGTATGGATGGATTGGTGCAAGATCATAACGGTGGTTTTGATGTGGCCCTCCTTGATTGTTTATTCTCTAAGGGGTTTCGCTCTGTTAAGTCTATCCCTCCCAAATGTCGTTTGGGGTTTTCTCGGGTTCTGAAAGGTGCTCTTGATAAGGTGATCTCTAAGCCTGATGACATTTCTAATTGGGTCTCTTTGTTGGTGTTACCTCTTTGCATCCTTAAAATCTTTCGCCCGCGGAGTAGTCGTGAGTCTCGGTCTTCGGTAAGACGTCGGCATCAAGAACAGAGTATTTCCCGTGCTATTTGTTCTTGGAGTGTAGCGGGTGGTAATTTGCAGCTTGTGAGGGAAATTTTGGCAGAGTATTCTCCTACTTTGTCGATGGTTGATGATGAGGACATTGATTTGGAAGAGCGTAATATTAAGCAGTGTCGTAGGAAGATTTGAGATGGCCATTACACTGCTGCGGTTCGGGTTCTTTCTTCAGCAAGCTTTGCACCTTATAATGACGCCACTCTTGCAGATTTACAGTCAAAGCACCCTTCATCTCCATCTCCATCCTTGCCTGATATACCTATTGATCACCTTCATCTCGTTACGACTTCTGCTGTTGTTTTGGATCGGATTAGGAGTTTCCCTCGTGGCACATCATGTGGTAGGGATGGTTTGCGTGCTCAACATCTTATGGATTGCTTGAGTGGTGCGGCTGTGGCAGTATCAGATGAGTTGGTTGACTCTATTACTGGGGTGGTTAATCTCTTTCTAGCTGGGAGATGTCCTATGGAATTAGGAGAGTACATTGCTAGTGCTCCTCTTACGCCACTTGTCAAGCCCGGTGGTGGTATCCGTCCTATTGCTGTGGGTACGGTTTAGCGGCGTCTCGTTTCGAAGGTGGGTGCTGTTATGGTTGGTCAGTCTTTAGGGAGTTACTTTGATGGCCTTCAATTTGGTGTTGGGGTTTCTTCAGGTGGTGAGGCAATTCTTCATGCGGTGAATCGGTTGATTGAGGACCGTGGTTCTGATGTTGGTTTATCTATGTTGTTGGTGGATTTTCAAAATGCCTTCAATCTGGTTGATCGTTCGGTCATGTTACGTGAGGTACGTCGTCGTTGTCCGGGCATTTCGCGATGGGTAGAATTCTGCTATTCTAATCCAGCCAGGTTGTACTATGGGGACCAAACCTTATGGTCATCTCAAGGGGTGCAGTAGGGTGATCCCCTTGGTCCTTTGCTTTTTTCTTTGGTTTTACAACTCCTGGTGTGTAAAATCAGAGAGACTTTTGATGTATGTCTTCAGGCTTGGTATTTAGATGACGGCACGATTATTGGTGACACTTTGGTGGTGGGGCAAGTTCTGCAGTTGATTATGGAGGAAGGACCTCGTTCTGGGTTATGTCTTAATGTGGAAAAAACTGAAGTTTTCTGGCCTACAGAAGACCCTCGAAGCAGGCTGGTGGGTGTCTTTCCACCTAATATTGCTCGACCTTTGCGTGGTGTTAGGTTGCTTGGAGGTCCCGCTAGTTCCGATTCTGGTTTTAGTGGTGAGCTTGTGATGCAGAGGGTGACCAAGACCATTGCCCTTATGGATAAGGTCGCTATGCTCGATGATCCTCAGTGTGAGCTGTTGTTACTTAGGGCATGTACTGGAGTTTCAAAACTCTACTTTGCATTGCGTACTTGTCCTCCTAGTACTTTTGAGGTGGCTCAGCGCACTTTTGATGCAGCTCTTCGATCTTCCATGTAGCGTATTGTTACTGCTTCGGGGCCGGGGTTTGGTGATTGGCAGTGGCGACTTGCCACCTTACCATTTGCGTTTGGAGGGCTTGGTGTTTATTCTGCAGGTGATGTTCGTCACTATGCTTTTCTTGCTTCTCGGTTACAGTCTGCTAGGTTGCAGACACAACTTCTTCGGCATGCTGGCATTGTTGGTCTTGGACGAGCCTTTGAGGATGCGTTGAGTCTGTTTAATGGAACAGTGGAGTCTGACATTTTGAGTAATCCTAGTGAGGTCGTTGCCCCTAAACTCATGAATAAATTGGCAGATATATATTTCACAAAGGTTACCGCTTCTGCAGAATCTGCTTATTCTTTAACTCCTCGACAATCAGCATTATGGAAATCACAGCAAGGTGATCACACCTCTGCTTGGCTTCGGGCGGTTCCTATTTCAGGGTTGGGTCAGACGATGAACGCCAAGACTTATCGCTGTGTGTTGTCCTATCGGTTGGGTGTACCATTGTTCTCTATCTCGACGTTGTGCTATGCTTGTTCGAGGGTTTTTGCTGGAGATATTTTCGGTGATCACGCAGTGTCTTGTGCTGGTATTGTGGGTATTAAACATCGGCATAATGTTGTTCGGGATACCCTTGTTGATGTTTGCTTTCGTTCTGGGATTTCAGCGAGAAAAGAGGTTGACATTGGGTTGGCCGGAGGGAACGACGAGGCCCTCAGACCCGCGGATATGTTACTTTATTCATGGGATTGTGGTCGCGATGTCTGTGTTGATTTGACAAAGTCTTCTCCTTTGACACAATCAGGGCTATCTGACTTCATTCCTGGGCGGGTTGTGGCTGATGCAGCTCATCGGAAGCAGGTTAAGTATGAAGCTCGATGTCAGGCGATTGGATATGGTTTCATTCCCTTCTCCTTTTCTTCGCTTGGGGAATTAGAGAAAGAGGCTGTTGCGTTACTGAAGCGGATTCAAAGGTTCTCGACGACGCAAGACATTGGGGCTCGTGCTGCAGCTCATATCTTCACTAGGGTAGGATTTGCAATAGCTAGAGGAGTGGGGGCCCAGATTGTATCTCGGCTTCCCACTAATTTATTGTAGGTTGTATGACTTTTGTTTTTGAGATAATAATAATAATAATAATAATAATAATAATAATAATAATAATAATAAAAAATAAAAAAATAAATAAAAAATTGTGTGGTCCATTATCATTTCTGTTTAATAATTTTGTGGTTTGGATGTAATATGTAAGATATGATTATTAAAACCATCATTGATTTTATCATAGTTAGTAGCTAGTAGTTTACAATAGGAATAATTAAGTAATACTAATTAATAATTAATATTCTTTGATATTTCTTAAATTAATTCATACTAATTAAAAAACACTATTTCTTACTAATTTTTGTCTTATAGAGAAGTGATCAATCAAAGTCACAATCAAAAAATATGAACACAAGTTGCCATGTCGACGTTGGACATGACAAGAGTTGAATACACTTCCAAAATGTCATTACTATTTAATTTAAATTCAAAATTACAAAATAGTCCTTTGAAGTTCCACGAATCTTATTAAATAATTGTTTGTAAATGGAAGTTTACGTAATTGCTTTATATATTATGGGAGTAATCCACATGATGAGTAGTGATAGTGAAGAAAGCGGCGAATTGGTAGAGCATCAAATATTGAAATATATTTGTGTCCTTTTTTTGCTTTTACTTTTATAATTCCTTTTGTTTACCCTAAATATTCGGTTTAAATAATAGAGCCTAAGAAACATTGTTAGCTAGGTTAATAATACTATAATAGCATTATTATTATTGTTGCATGCACTGATGCACTTAATTTTTCGTGGGTAGAGCCGTAGAGTAGATGAAGAGGAAAGTTGATAAAATCATATGTAGTGAATGAAAGAGTTGAGTGATAGTTCTTTATATAGCTACCGCGTTCAGGTCCTTGATCGGCTGTGCACCGTCAAAGGGATCGAACTTTGCCACCAACCATGAGAGAGTGAAAGAGAAAATGAAGAAAGAGGATGATTACGAGACAAAGAGGGGTTAAAAGATGAATGAGGAAAAGAGTTGTTTGGGGGTTTATTACTGAGGGATAGGGATTAGGGAATGGCAGTGGATCGGGTTAAATGGGAGGTTTGGCGGGTGATGGGGCGGGTATGGATTTTAGAGTAGACCCGCCCCATATTCACCCTGCCCCGTACCCACCTTATGCCCGCACCATATTCTTTTAGAAGAGTTGAGAATTTATGAAACTTGATACCCCCTAACACCCAATAAGCTTGAATAGTGAAAGCCCCAATTTTCTTAATCTAATTTGATATAATTGTCATTAATGTGATACAATAGAGCATCACGGCAAAGGGTTTGGGACGATTTTGGGGCGGGTATGAATATCCAAGTGGGTGATGGGGCGGGGATGGATTCTATCTTGTATTTGGTGGGGCGGATATGGATGTGGATATTGTACCCGCCACGGGTGGTGGGGCCGATGGGTATAAGAGTTTTAGGCGGGTATGGGTATGGAGGTACCATCATCCGCATCCGACCCGCCCCATTGCCATCATGTTTTAGCTGCCTGTTGCGCTGAATCCTCCAACGCTACTCAAGTGACTTGGGACCGAAATTGAATAACACAAACAACCCCCCCCCCCCCCCCCCCAATAATTGGCAAGTTAAAAGCTGATCATGGATCAGGCTCTATACTGGGGCAGTCGCGCTGGAAACAATTTTGGGCAGGTAATTCCTGCCCATATTGTTAAATCGATCCAAGTCAGATCAATGTACACATGACTAAACAACTAAAAGCCAAGAATATGAGCCGATATATGTTAGCTATGGCAAATTAAAAGTGAGATCACAGAGGATAATTATCAATCAATTAGAGGAGAAAAACCTAAATGCCGAAAGAGCTGAAGAGGGATAACATAGGCAGCCATACATGATTATGAAACTGGTTTCTTCACCAAGAAACCTGACAGGAAATTTCTAAATGTAAGTTCTTCAGTAACAAAACAAGAAACCAAAGCCAATTAACTCAAGGTTCAAACAAATATGACCTGTTGTGGCCCTCAAAGAACAAACTAAAAATCAGACAAGATTACAGAAAATGTTTATAGTGTGAATTACACCTAGAGGTTCAAATTTGAATGATATCATCAATGAAGACATATATATTGACAGTTACCAATAGAGATTTAAAAAAAAAAAAAAATAAATAAATAAAAAAAAAAAAGAAAAAAAAAAAGGTTGATAGTATACTTGATCAACTAAGTTGTTCCAGGCGCTTTGCACTATTCACAAATGTTGCGCTTTTATTAAAACCTTCTAGCAAAAGTATCCGAATGGCCTCCAATCCACCTTGCAATGTCATATCCAACTGCACACAACCAAAAAATCAGCCACCGATAAAAATATCCCAATATCCAGTAATGTTGATTGCCACACCACATGCAATAAGAATCGTAACCAAAGGATCAAAGTTCTAACTAGTTGTTGAAGATTTAGCTCGGTACTGTAGCTATCATAGCACTAAAAATACCAATCATGTAGTTAAGTTTGGTTTCATAGAGAGCTCCTCATGGAACTCTTTCTAGTTTTTAAAGCTCAAAAATTGAGATAGAACCAAATTTGACTTTATAACAATTCCCAAATAATAGAACAAACAGGCAATTTTCTCCACCTGAAAGTATACTCACTAAGCCTAGATGCAATTTGGAGCATATATACAACCATACTAAATAAACACCAGACATTTATGCAAATTTATGCAGTACATTGTTTTTCGTTGTTATCCTGTGGGAAAGTCCAAAATAAACTATATTATGTACAATATATTATGTTTGCAAATAGAGTTGATAGTCACATTTATGCAACATCGAAACAACAAAAAAGAATGCACATTTATAGGCAAATTTTTATAGGAAAATTGTACATAATACATTTGAAATGCTATGTTTGAAATTTTCTTTCTATATTATGTTTGCAATCTTTGCATGATTAAGTACTTAAGTAAACTTTGTGTCCCCATATTTAGTTCAAGTGCTTTTACACCCAAAGGGTAATAAGACTAGCGTCAAACCACTCTTAAGAAGTTAACAACAAGTTTGACCCAAGCTGTTAACCAACCAAATGAGGTGGAAACTTTTTGTGGGGTATTTAAGAGGTTAGCTGCAGCTAAAGAGTTTGACAAACTCTTTGATGCCATCAATTGCCTCGAAAAAGCTAATTTGAGTCAACGAAAGGGTAAATTATTGAACAAGCCTAAATTTGGGTGGGCAGACTTGAAAGAAGTGAGAGCTAAGTTCTATCCGGCGTACTTAAGGAAACAAAAGTGTATGGAGTTCACCAACCTTAGAATGAGGACCACGACCATTAGTGAGTAGACTACTACTTTTGAAACCTTAGATGAAGTGTATGGAAGAGCAGCTCACCTATATGGGATTAGAGGAAGGGAAATCAAGAATTCGGGAAAGAAAAAGGAAGAGTTTTGAGTCTTTTCACAGGGTGAGAAGAAGCATAAGCCTAATGGAAATTTCAATGAAAGGAGGAAGAACAAGGGGAACTTTGGGAGAGGAAAGAATAATCAACCATTCAATGCTCGGGGAAATGGGAATCAAAGAATTGGTGAGAATCAAAAGAGAACCTATTTTTCACAAAAATGTGAGAAGGACCACCTAGGGTAGGATCATGACCTGTAGGTAAGAAGTTGGGGCATCGTGAGTACGAATGTTTTAGAAGAGCCTAGTATGAATGTTAGAAAAGGTGAAAGAGTCTAATATTCCAACCAAGCCACCAACCCAATGGACCTACACCTAAGATTGGGACTAGTAGCAATGCGGGTGGTACTCCCAAGGGCGTGTGTTGTGATAAACAGTATGAAGCTTAACTAGTGTTTTAAAAAGCACGCCTGTGAGGCGCAAGGCGAGGGTAAGTGCTTAGTTGGTCTAGGCGAGGCATTTTTGATTAGGCGCACCTGAAGAAAATTTCAGCAAACTTTTTTCACAGTTTATATAGTGCGTCTCACTTTAAAGAGGCGCCTTAGGCGCACTCGGTGCTGCATAACCCTTCTTGCTTCAGTGCGCCTTGAGCTTTTTATACATTGAGCTTAAGGGCTTAAGCTTCTCATGATGTGGTAATTGACACTTTCCTTATATGCTCTCTTTCTGTGAAAGTTCTTTTGATTCGGGTGCATCACATTCATTTGTTTCTAAGACCGTAGTAGAAAGTCATAAACTAGAGGTATCAAACCACTCTCTTTAGACATTTCTATTCCGTCAGAAGAAGTAAGGAATTGTTTTAAGTTGTTTAGAGTAGAGGTAATCATTAGAGCATCTCCAATGGTTTAATTGTAAGGACTTGCTTGCAATATAAATAAAATTTCTAGCTACATGCTTACCATTGGAGAACAAAAAATTGAGCACCATGCTAGCAATTGTAGCCCAAACAAGCTACATGCTTGATTGAAAAAGAGACAAATAAACCCCACTTATATTATAACATGTGTATAATTATTTATTTATCGGCTATTTCACCAAATGCCATTGAGTAATTTAAAAATTCACCAAATGCCATCGGACTTTTCAGAATTCACCAAATGCCACCTGGTTTTTACAAAATTCACTGAGTGCCATTAATGACTAACGGCAGTTAACTCCGTTAGTCATTAAGGCTAATTATGCCACGTGGTGGCTTATGATTGGTTGCTTATTAAATTAGTATATTAATTACTTAATAAAAAAACTTAAAAATAAAAAAAAAACCACCCATCCACCATGACTCAGCCCGACCACCGTCACCACCATATCCCCACCTCCAACCAATCCCCACCACGGCGGCGACCCACCCCTGAACAACTGAGCCGGCGACCCAGCCTTGAACAACCGCACCGCCGGCGACCCAGCGTAGCCAGCCCGCAGCAACAACTAACGCACCCAGCCGATTCGCAAACTCTCCTTCTCCCTCGAAAATCCCTCCCCTCACCACCACCGACGACCAAAGCCCCCCTCCCCACGCCGGAGAACCCAAATCAGTTCATCCCCTCCGAGCTCCACCCTTTCAACCACCACGCCGGAACCCTAAATTAAAATCCCCAAAAATCGAAATCTAGGGTTTCGACACCTTAAACCCCAATATCGATTTCCCTAAATTCGTAACCCCCTCCACTCCATCCCTCCTGCTCCGACGAACCCAAACGACCTCTTTCCCTCCCATCTCCACCCCCTGAACCACCTTGCTTAAAATCGAAAACCAAATTTGGTTTTCGATTTTGGAGATTTCGTTTTTGGGGTTTTATTAGGGTGTCGAAGATGGGTGTTTAGGGGGGGAGTGGATGCAGATGGTAGGGGGAATAGGGTCAGGGGGAAGGGTGGTCGCCGACGATGTTGGTCGCCGGTGGGGGTGGAGGCAAGGGGTTGGGCTGGCGTAGGGGCGGTGGTGCGGCGGGAAGATTGGTCGGGGTTCATTTTTTTTTTTATAATTTTTTTGATAAATAAAATAATAATAAAATGAACCAATTAGAATATGCCACGTGGCATAATTAGCCTTAATGACTAACGGAGTTAATTACCGTTAGTCATTAATGGCACTCGGTGAATTTTGTAAAAACTCGGTGGCATTTGGTGAATTCTGAAAAGTCCGATGGCATTTGGTGAATTTTTAAATTACTCAATGGCATTTGGTGAAATAGCCGTTTATTTATTTATTAAAATTTATTTTTTACAAACTAAAAAATGTTGTAGCTTACCATTGGAACACTTTATTGCTAAAAGGTGTTGTAGCTTAAAAAATAATATAGAAAAGCAAGCTACAAAGCATTGTAGCTTGCCATTGGAGATGCTCTAGCCCGGCCTGGCACCCGATCCACCCCACCCAAAAAAGTTTGCATGATCCACGTTTTTTGGGCAGGTTTGCATGACTTTATCTACAAGCCCGACTTGGCCCGCCCATTTGATCACCTCTAGTTTAGAAGGGCACCTCTTTAAATTTCTGGGGTAGAATTTGACTTTGGAAGAATTGGATGTCATTTTGGGAATGGACTGGTTAAGAAAATATAAGGCTCAAATCGATTGCTCGGCCCAAAAAGTTACTTTGTATAGTCCAACAAGGACTAAGGTGACGTATAAAAGGGAAGGCAAGAGTTCATGGTTAAGGATTATTTTCGCTTTGCAGCTTTAAAAGTGTGTTAGGGATTGTACATGTATAGTTCAAATAGATGTGGTAACAACTTGCAAAATAAAAAGAAAGTAGACTTTTCACCTCTTCACGTTCTTGTTTGTTGAATGGACGAAGAACAAAGCTTGCAGGGTCCATCTTTCCAGGAGGCCTCCCAATACCTAAATTTACACAGATTATTGACATGAACAAAAAAAGAATAAAACAAAAATAGATGTTTCATTCTTAATTTGTACCTATCCTTAAACGAGGAAAGTCACGATTTCCTTTGAAATGATCAATGATACTCCTCATCCTACAAGGCACAAGCACATTAAATCAACAGTCACACAGAACCTTCCTCGCATCATTGTTCATAAACTGATAACCTTTATGAGTCAATCTTATAAGCTAGAATTTTAGCATGCTGACAAGAATAATAAGCTTGACTAAATACATTTTCAAAAGGTCAGAAACTACTTGAGAGTTTTATCCAAGTCCCATAAGTTACCAATTCATGTTAGTATATTCTATATAATCCAAAAATAAAGAAGTTTTTGGCAAAAGTGTTGACAAATAATATTACATTCTTTTCAATTAGGTAAGTCCAAGTGACCAACTACGTAAAGTGGTGAGCTAAGTTTGATGTGGTTCCTAGCCCCTAAGAGTTTGGGTGAGTAACTTAAAGGGAAAATTAACTTAGCTACAAACATGTCTAAATTGCAAATATCATAGCATCACAAGCACCCAACAACATACTTCCTCCGTTTCGAATTATTCTTTACACTTCTAAAATGGCACTCCTAGGCAATTTTTGGAGAAAAAGAGAGAGAGAGAAATAAAAAAGAGGGCCCACATGAGAGGAGAGAGATGCACAGATTTGTTTGCCCAAAGAAGAAGTGTAGCAAGTAATTTGAAACATCCTCAAATAGAAAGTGTAGCGAGTAATTTGAAACGGAAGAAGTATAACAAAGGAAGTGCTAGGAGATAAATACCCATTGTGTCCTCCATGACCACCCTTAGGCAATAGCCTCAATCTTGCAAAAGGCAAATCCAAATCATCGTATATCTGCAAGATAGTCAATCATCTATTTAAATGAGGCTCAAGATTTTGAAATGCAACACAATAAATTGAGTATGCGAGTAGTATATTACCACTAATACTTGGTTCAATGGGATCTTATAATATGAAACCATAGGACCAACCTTCATAAAATATTTCAAAGTTTAGTTGCCACCAAATGTAATATATAACAGAGTTGATAAGTTAGCTTTTAACATAATGATAGATATTTTAAGATAAGCTACTTACAGACTCACCACTGACATTCATAAAAGTTTGTGGCTTGGATAGGATAATTGGAACTTTTCCAATGTAACCTGATAAACACAACTAAATTAGTTCAATTAAAAAGCAACATGAAAAGCCAAAGTTAAGAAGTCCAAGAAAATTTAACATCAACAATTATTCCTTGTTTATGAGGGACATTTCAAATATATCTGTAATCTGTTCCATTATGTGCCTTTAAAAAACTGATGAATCACAATGTTGGTAAGTTGCAAATGTAAATGGGGACTAATATTTTGGGAGGGGGGTGTAGGAGACTAGGAGGCTTAAACTATACGAAAAGTTAAAAAGTAATTAATATGATTTTTTTTTTTAAAAAAAAAATTATTTGCAATTCACATATAAATTACTACGTAAATAATTTCCTTAAAAGCTTCTCTCTCCCACACCACTCTTCGACAACCTTGGCTGCTAAACCCTCTTCTTATGACATTTCTTCCCAAAATCCTCACAATTTGCATTTTGAAGTCCATTTAGTTATTAAGAACCTCACTTATTTACTCCACCTATCATCATTCATTGAATGAGAACAAAGCTAGTTTATATATACTATACTCTAACAGAACAAACAAAGCCTATGTCTAGTGTGGATTGAAAATGCAACCAAGCTCCAACTTTCACTTGCTTCAATTGAAAATTTTGCAACCAAGCTTTGACTCTGATCATCTTCAATTGAGCAGCTCAATTCCTTGACACAGTGAGCAGGAGAGAATTTGTTTGTTGACAGAATAGTGCTGCCAAGAATCAAAATTGGTTTCTCTGCCAATTGACTTGAATGGATAGGCAAACTAGATGAAAGTATACATATCAGTATTTCAACCATAAATAGCATAACTAGTATGGGGGCAGAAAGAGTATGTTTTCTGGATCATTTAGTAGTGTTTATTATTAGGGAATAGGGATGTATACATTCATACTATCTTGCTTTAACATCTAGTAAATTTGTAACCCTTTCGCACAACATTGACGAATTCGCAGAATCCTGAGAAAAGGCAAGCTGTTTATAGGTAGTTGATAGTTTGATTACCAACTAAAGCTCATGCCCATTGCCATCCAAATTCAATGCTCTACCACTATGGCGCTATAATATCCTCTATGTTACTTGAGAATGTTTAAACTAAAACAGAGGGCAAGAGTACCTTTCCCAAACATAGCTTTAAAAGATACACTATTCATTGAAATTCCCTCTGCTTCTGCAATGGCGTCTACCATCTCGAATCCAACCTGTAGAATAGTGGAAAGGAATACATTCACTGCCTCTGTAGATAAATTAAATCCAACTCAGCAAGACCAAAATCTTAGCACATTCTACGATTAATAATGATTGAATATTACGATAATTCATATGAAGCACAGTATCTTGCTAGGAAAAATCAAACTCCATTAAACTTGTATGATCATTCTAAATGGTAATGTTAAATTGCAGAGAAACATGCTTCTTCGCGACACTCAAGGTAAAACCAAAATGCTGGATGATATGAAAGGTTTCTTCTAACTACATTTCAATGTTCCCTAACTCCAAGATCCATATTATTTTCAATTAAATTGGTAACACGATATTCAATTTCTAAAGGTTTTCCCTTGACCACAATCGACTCAAACTACAAAACATCGAAATTTTACAGCAAAAACTTTTAATCACACATGTACCCAATTCTGCTTCAAGAGTATTAATTCTGATCAACAATAAAAGGGAAAAGAAAAAAAAAAAAAAAAAATAGTAACACCCAATAAACTCACTAAAACTGAAAATTTCTAACACAATATTGCATCAAATATTACAATAATCACCAAAAAATAATGCTCTTCTAAACACCCAGAATACAAAAAGGCACAAAATTCAGCAAAAAAATGCAGAAATTACAGTATAATTAGAAGAGAAATTATACATTATGACGAGTGCCGTTGTACTTTTTGCCAGGATTTCCAAGGCCAACAACAAGCCACGGTTTAGGCTTAGGCTTTATAGAAAACGACGTCGCAACATCGTCAGAATTAGAATCAGCAGATAAACAAGCAAAATTGGTCATTCTCCAATTCGAAGTGGGAGATTTTAGGGTTTTGCGAAATGTTGAAGAGGACAAAAAATAACTGCAACTGCTACGAAAATAGCAGTAATTCAAAGCTGATGATGAAATTTGCACTGGAATTGTAGTAGTGTTCATACTTTTTTGGGGAATTAGGGTTTTATTGAAGATGAAATTCAATCTATTGAAACAAGATTTGAACCAATTACTGAAGTTGTTTAAAGAATAAAGGAGAAAAAGAAGGGGGGAAAAGCAAAAAAATATGTATATATCGCCGTTGCCGGGGATCGAACCCGGGTCACCCGCGTGACAGGCGGGAATACTTACCACTATACTACAACGACTTATTGAATAACATATGAGTTGTAATTTATTTATTTTAAAAAAACTTGTTTAAGAAGTTTAATAAATTCACAGGTACTTGTGTAGGTTTTTTTTTAAACACAAAAGGAAGCCTATATTACTTGGGCATAGCCCTAATAATTACATCATAAAATTCAAAGTAGTACATAAGGCAAAATGCACACTTTGAAACCCATAGTAGCCAGAGTTTAGCAAAACACTACCATAGGAATTGTCCACTGAAACTAACAGATTATACAGACAAGCAAGAAAACTAAGGAGATGTGCGATCCTGCAGTCCTTTGAGATCTTCTTTATATGCAGCTACAGCATTGGTGGGGACTACTTAATGAAGAGTATGACCTAAGCTCATGGTCATAGCATACCTTGCCAAGTTATGAGCCAAATAATTCAGCTCCCTTGGAACAGTGTTAAGCACAATCACCATTTTGTTGTTATTGAGAGCCCTGGCTACATCAATAACAACTGCAGCCAATTCATTGTGCATATAGTCCCCTTCCCTGTTGAGAAGGCTTCTTATATTATGTGCATCTATCTCAACTTCTAAGAATTGAAGAGGCATAGCTTGGGCAAAGTTCAACCCTTCCCTAAGAGCATATAGTTCTACTCCCAGAGCACTAGGTGAATTATATTTGCTTGAGTAGCCAAAAAACCATTCTCCCTTATCATTTATGAAGACTCCACCACCCCCACCTTCATCCTTGGAAATCCAAGCACCATTAGTGTTGAGCTTCATCCAACCCTTCTTTGGTGGGCGTCAGCAAGGGGTTCTAACAACTGAGGGTCCTGCTCCATCTGAATAATTACTTCTGCATCCCCTGGTGTCCTGTAAAACAAATGAGTTGATCTAATAATCTATAATGAATCCGTTGAAAATAGAATTACAATTATAGACTTCATCATAAAAAATGATCCCATTTCTCAGTTTCCAAATATGCCAAAGCCCCATAATAAAGATGGACTTCCACTTTGGAGTTTGAGTGAAGTTGAAACGAAGCCAATCATTCCAATCTGAATTCATAAAGATGGAGAAATTGAAATTTTTAGGTGGCTTGATCTTTTGTATAATCATCTTCCAAAGAATACCAGAAGTGCAGCAGTCTCTGAATAAGTGAATAAATGTTTCGTAATGTATGGAACATCTTGTGCATATGGGATCAAAACCAGGGAATTTAATGGCAAGAAGTGAAACAGCAGGTAAGATAGAGTGAATGCAATTCCACGTGAACATTTTATATTTGAAAGGCACTCTGAGCTTCCAAAAAGTTTTCTAGTTAAAGGGGAAAGGAAGAGAATAAGGGAGAAGGATTTTTAGAAAGAAAATAGGTTGTCTTGATGGTGAAAACACCAGAATCATGATGTTTCCACCTAATGTGATCAGGAGAAGAGGTTGGATCATAAGTGGAGATAGGAGAACTTAGGATAAGGGAACAGATATGAGCAGACAAGAGATGTCTTATATTATCAATACACCATTTTCCATCCCTAATGATATTAGAGACTCTCCAGTGGTATTTTGATTGAGGAACATCTCTTGGAATTATCTTGTAAAGAGGTTCCTCTCCAACCCAATGATGATACCATAAGGAAGTGTCCTCACCATTGCCTATTCTAAGGATGAGACCCTTAATAATAAATCTCTTCCTTTCAAAATATCCCTCCACATTGATGATTGAGAAGAATTTGGGATGCAATCCTGAAGGTTAGTTCTACTAGCATACTTATCCTTTAGGATTTTAACCCATAACTTATCTGGTTTAGCTAGATAAATCCATCCCAATTTAGCCATGAAAGAGATATTTCATTCCCTTAAAGATCTCAAGCCCAAACCTCCCATAGATGTGGGAATGGTCACATTGTCCCATTTAGTTCTAGGGGTATACTTTAGGAAATCTGTTCTATTCTAGAGGAATCTTTTACATTTCTTCTCAATATCAGTCAATATAGAAACAGGCAAAAGACTATGTTGCGTAGCATGAACAGGATAAGAACTCAAGACATATTTAATTAAGGTGCATCTACCAACCATGTTTAACAATTTAGCTTGCCACCCCTTAATTTTATCTAAAGTCTTTGAAACTAGATCCCAATAATCCCCTTTCTTCAGTTTATTAGGACTAATGTTAACTCCCAAGTACTTCCCAAAAGAAAAGCTGGATTTAAAGTTACAGAAGGTCACAATTTTTTTTTTTTTTTTTTTGACAGCAGTGAAACAAGTCTATAATTAAAGACTTACGGACCTAGCTCCCTTCCCTGGCTCTAACAGCCAGATCGTGAGCCCTAGAAGTAGCAAACCTGGGCACATAACAGCAACAGACATAGGGATAACTATGGGTAAGTTGTCGGATCTCAAGGACCAAACTTCTCAGCTCCTTTGGTACCTTCCCTGGGTCCTCCACGGCAGTAACGCTAAGCTTCTTGTCCGTCCTGATCTCAATCTGATTGTTGCATCTCAGAGCTTCCTTTACTCCCTCCTTAATGGATAGAAGTTCACAGTGAAGTGCTAAGCCTCCAAACACCCTTTTCCTGCCCTCTGACAATAGTCTATCCCCCTTCGTAACCACCCATCCCACAACCGCCGAGTCCAGCACCCCCTTCCTATGCTTCCACACATCATCAATTGTTACTGATACAACTTGTTGCGAGTCATGGGTCCCCCTCTGCCAGTAATTCAACTCCGGGGCTCCCAATCCAGGAACCGAAATCCCTTGAATCGAGCAACAACCCCCACTTTGCTCATGATACACTCTTGCACAGGCCTCATTGCACATTTGCATTAACCTAATAGGTGAACATTGCTCCCCTCTAAAGATGATGTCATTTCTATGCTTCCATATGCTCCAGAGGGTAGCTAGGATAGCTCCAGCAAGCACCGGGTTTTCCTGCTTCAAATTGAATGCGTAGGATAAGAAGTTCCTCAACCAGGTGACAATGCAAGCCTCTCCATCTCTCACTTTAAGGCCTAGGGGACCACACAGCCATAATCGCCGAGACACATTACAGTCTCTGAAAAGATGATCAGTTGTTTCCACCGAATCCCTGCAAAACACACACAAGGGGTTAATATTCAAACCTCTCTTGACAAGACCTTCCTTGCTATTGCATGCCTTCTGTAGCACTTTCTAGCCAAGGAAAAGCCAGACTGGAGGTACATATAGCTTCCAGAACTCTTTCCAGAATTTGGGTCTCTCCTGCTTACTAGACAAACCCAGCAACCAGAGGTACCCCGATCTTGCAGTGTATACCCCATTCTCCGTCTCACTCCACAGAATCTCATCTGTATCTTCCCCGCTTGGGTGAGTACTTAGGATTTTCTTAACGTCATTCGTGTCAAAAAGCCTTCATATCACCCCTGACTTCCATCTCCCTTCTTCATCCATTAGGTCACTCACATTTTTGCAATTGGTCCTGACCCCTTCATCTATTCCCGGCCTCATCCTCACTCTTCCATTCATAGTCGAATTGTCTTCTTCTATCTTGACCCCCCTCCCTCTTCTAATTCTGTACCAAAAACCCTCCTTCATACTTAATGTCGTCCTCCTCATGCTCCTGACCGCCCACGAGCCCCTAGAAAGAGGCCCTCCTTTCATTCCCCCTTCTATTGGTGACGCACCATACCTCCCAATGACCACCCTACTCATTAAGCTATCACGGTTCCTATGAATTCTCCAAGCCTGCTTCAGTACCAGAGCTTGATTTAGCTTGTGGATATTTCTTAAGCCCAGCCCGCCATCCTTTCGAGGTAGCTCCAAAATTTCTCTCTTTTTCCAATAAATCGACTTTTTCCCACTCGCATTCGCCTAGAAGAATCTCAGACAAATAGAACTAATCTTGCCTAGGATTTTCTTCGGGACCAGAAACAAGGTAAGAATGTGGGAAGTCATCGCCACCAGGATGGAGTTAATCAGAAGAAGCTTTCCTGCTTGCGAGAGGGATACAAATCTCCATGAGAGTACTTTCCTTGAAATCTTCTCCACCAGGAAATTGAACTGAGACAAGCTCCGCCCATCAAAATCCATAGGGCACCCCAAGTAAGACCCAAAGAAGTTTTTGCTCGTCATACCCAAAGGTCTCCTAAGCGCTCTGACAAAAGTAGATGGAGTATTCGGGCTGAACATGACAAAGGATTTCTTCGCACTTATTACCTCCCCTGAGATTCTACAGAAGTCATCCAACGCTTGTCTTAGCTCCTTACACACCTCTAAACTTGGCTTGAAGAAAAGTAGAGCGTCATCTGCAAAAAATAAATGGGAAATTCTCGGGCAATTTCTCGCAGCACTTAACCCTTCAATTCTATTCTGTTCCTGGAGCCATACTAACTTCCTTGAGAGTACCTCCATACATAATATAAACAAATAAGGAGAGAGCGGGTCCCCCTGCCGAAGTCCCACTCTGGGAAAGAACCATTCCGATTGTTCCCCATTGACAAGCACTGCATAAGAAACCGTTGTGATACATTGCCCTATCCATTGAATCCACCTTTCCGGGAAAGCCATTTGCCTCAGGATACTGATGATGAAATCCAATCTGACTCTGTCGTATGCCTTATTCAAGTCCACCTTCATCACTCCTGCAAACTTACCATCCTTCCTCTTCTTTTTTTTGACGAATTGGATTAACTCATGCCCCATCAGGGCACTATCCGTCATCAGCCGTCCTGGAACAAAAGCATTATGGAATTCTCCAATTACTTCTTTTAGGATAGGCTTTAGGCGATTTACCAGACACTTAGAGATTACCTTATAGGTTGTATTGCATAAACCTATCGGTCTGAAGAGGTCCACCCTATTTGCATTTTCCTCTTTAGGGATCAAGCAAATGAAAGTTCTATTCCATTCCTTTAGGATGTACCCCCGTTCAGGAAACTCCTTACTGTAGAGAATAAGTCT